CGGTGGATTGATCGAAGTTCCGAGGGACGAACTTTTGTCCATGTTGTTGCTTTGATGATTCAATCCTCGTTTTGAAGCATTTTCGTTTTTCTGTTTACTTTAACTGCTTTTTCGTTTTGTTATTTTTATCGATCCTTCATTTTTTTTAACCTTCTTTTATCTGTAGTTGTTTCCTTTTCTGCTCTTTTTGATTTCTAATCTCATTTTCCATTGGCTGAACTTTTTGACTAATTTTATCAACCAATCATGTTTTTGATAGCCTGGTTTGACCTGGAATCTTTCAAGTTTACCTTTTTATTAATAATTTTGTTTTGAACTTACATTGTCTCTCTATATCTCAGTTGTCTATCATATTTCGTAGATTATCATGAAGTACAAACAGATGCTGTCCAAACATATTAATCTTGAGACACCGCAACACATGGACTTGATCTCTCTAAATCACACGACAATCGACAGCAGCAAACAGTCAGTACAACTGGAATACCACGCAAACTCACTATTGAAACCTACCGAAAGTCTAACTTTAAATCATCCATTACATCCTTCGATTACTCGTGTTACGGAGTCATTAGTTTTTGTAACAGAAAATAAATTAAAGGAAGATATTCGGGCGTTTACTACTCAGAATACCGAAACTAGTATTTTTCAAGTGAATGCAGGTTCACAATCACCATCACATAACTCAAATATAACTAATAAATGTCAGATAAAATTAAACACTTTGTCAAATCCTCCTAAAATTAGAAAAAGTAAGTTACTGAATACTATGTTTATATAATTATTAAATGAGGATTTATAAATTTTCTCCTCCGTTAAGTCTATTACTGTTCTATTTTAAAAAATTTTGACCCCTGGTCAGTATAAAGACATATGTGTCTCAGTGTTTAATCAAAAGAGTTTGAAGATTCTAATAATAATCATAAGTCCATTCAATCATCTTTAATATGATGCATAATCATTCACAGAACTAAACCCATTTGATGTCATAGAGAATTGTACATACGTACATGTTCGAAAATATTCGATGATGTCATTATTAATTAATTATACAGGTTTCTAGTAATAGACGATGTATGTTGCAATTTTTAATTTTTCGGTCTAACTCATCACCAAATTATTCAATGCATTAGGCTCAGTAGTAATTCGATATTCTTTTTAATTTATTTTCGTTAAGAAATTTGAGAATTAAATGTAATCATCTCAACAAGTGTTATTCGAAACTATATAAATGATTTTGGATTTAGTAGTTTGTATTACATTTTCTAAAAACTACATTATAAAAAGGACTTACAGTTCCACTCGGTTTCGGTATTCTTATTGCTTTGCAATATTTTTCCTTCAGCGTTTAACATAGAATATTGTCTAATAATTCTCTCATGTTTGAATAGTTAATCGTTTAATTTGTTCACTTCCTAATAATCACTATTAGAGCCATTATTAGTGTTGTCAAGTCTTGAGTGGGCTAAGTACATTCAAACAACAATAACGTCTGAGACAGTCCATATCAGGACAAAGAGAGGGAACATTCTATTCACTCGTAGGTATCTGAAAGCTTTCCCGAAGACACGTATTCTAAATGACTTGGTGTAGTGTGCATCAATAACAGTGACAATTACTAATATAATTGCACAAGTAGTTTTGTGACACCATGGTTAGCTACATAGACTGACTGACTGGAATGACTTGATGTAATAAAGCATCTTAGTCCGCGTCATATCATTACAATTCACCTGTATTTATTTAATTAAAAATCTATAAAATGAAAGAAGCTTTCCATGATGTCACATAACTACTTGTGTAATCATATTAGTAATTATCATGGTTATTGAATAACACGACATCATCCGTATGTGCAGGTATTCCAAGTTCATCATACAATTTCTGTCATACTTGTCCTCAAGTTTTTTGAAATTCTGATCAGTAGTGCGTAGGTTCGTACCTCTAGTTATCGGATTAACATTCGTGGTAACTTAAAAGATCTTAGCTTTAGAGTATGTCTATGTAAATCAATGTGCTAATGCTAAAACTGTATATATGACCTGCTTTTACCTATATATATAGGGAGAGAGATATGGACACACACTTGCTGTGACCTTAATCATATTACTAGGTCAAAGGGCATCAGACTGACTAACTAAACTCAGTTCCATATACGTTTATATGTATACGGGTAGTGTACATAGAACAATACAATTTTTCTTTTTCAATCTGTGTTATTCAAAGAACATTATGAAATATTTTACTTTTAATAGTTTGAAGAAACCCATAGACGGGGTAATAAAAACACAACGAATTTTACTTTTTAATACCAAATTCAATTGGAAACGTGTCAACATTGGCCAGTGAGCGTGGGTATGCACATATACACACATACAAGGGATTTAAAATGCGATAAATAAATTTTTATTTAATGTCCCCTTAGATCATAAGGACTAAATAATAATTAGCAACTGTATCCAACGTTTTTGTAGGTTATCTGACTAAAATATCTTAGCTTTCGGAAGTTCCAAAATATGCAAAATAAAAACAGACCAAAAGTAATAGTTATTGAACACATGCACTCTTCCTCAATATACTGCTTTATTATTATTATTATTATTATTATTATTATTATTATTATTATTATTCTGGATTATTCAAAGTTTGTGATTGTATATATAATCAGTAGATCCATCTTCTGTGCAATTGATTAAAGAAAATTACTAAAATATTATTAAACTATATATGAAATTAATTTATGCACGTAAAGATTTAGATATGAATTAACTTCTAACTTAGTTTATAGTTAAATTCTAAAAGTCTCTTCTTAAATCAATAATATATTAAAAGCAATCAGTCTATTTGCTTCATTTAGATAACTCGATAAGAAGACAAAGTTTGTTATAGTTATGGTATGCAAGTAATTGTACACATTCATCATGAAATTAATTGGAAAATAGTGTTCATCATAATGTCACATATGATAATAAACTATAAGGATGAAATTTAGTATTCCACTTCTCTAGCTGTAACGTAGAAAGAGATCAAAATATTACGAGCCTGATCTGATCTAGCAGGGATGAACGTATACTTTTGATAAGCTGTTTTATCGTGCGAAACACCTACATAAGGCTTTCTGGTTTTCAGTTGTTCTCTATTTAATTTCAGTTCGTTATTAAAACTATACTCGAGGCGCAAAATCAATTTCTTTATCTGTAATTCAATTAGAAAAGTTCCACTTACCGTGTTGCAAATTAAATACAACCTTGTTTTTATATTTTTCACATACCTATGGTGATCCTACAACAATTAGCATGGAATATTTAGTATTCAATGTCAGTACTCGAAATTTTGTACAAATTATATTCTAGTACTTGAGATTTTAAAGAAATAACGGTATAACTAGATTTCAGAGAAGCTGTCACACCTGTTCGTTTACCGAAATCATCTAATTATCAATGTTTGGCACTGTTAATAATAAACGACTTTGACTTGGGCTCAGTGAAATATCACTGAGCCTACATCATGCTGAGATTGGCGTGTATTAAACAATTATTTTTACTTGTTTTTAAATCTAATAAATGTTGAGAGTATGCCGTTTAGTTTGATGATAGTCTGACAATCGTTACCTTGACAACAAGCATAATAATATTAAGTGTTATGATTATCGTCAGTCTACATCACAATATTTTAACCTCCAACTCTACATGATCAATTGAAATTCAAATAGCCTTCTAGTCTCTCGTTAACTTATCTCAAAAGTTTAACCAGTACGTCTTGTACTAGTGAACGCAAAAGGTTATGTGTATTTGAAGAATCGGTATCACCAAAACCAAGTAAACATGGGAAAAGTAAAACTTAGTCAAAATTTTCTGATATATGGTACCCAGTGCAAAGTTCTTGGGCAGTTAGTTTTCTACTACATGAACCTCGCAACGAATTTTCTCATTTCATATTCATCTATTCTCATTTACTGTGGTCTAAAATGTAGTATCGAGTTATGCCCTGATTATTTTACATAGTGGGCTAAACATTGTTCTAGACTTTTCTGAATATCAGCTACTTTTGGCAATGGTCACCATATTTCGCGGAATTGTATATTCAGGGGCCCGATATGGGTTTGATCCAATCTTGATCACATTACCTGTTTTTTTTAAAGTAAAAGACTATGTGTGTATATGCTAATTTAGTCAGTGAAATCTATTTAATGGTACGTTTTTTCTTTGAGAGTCATCAACTAGATTTACTTGCACCACCGTGTTGATTTTCACGTTGGGACCCAAACCCAGTACCTTTAGCTCCAAACACCCAATACGTTATGCACTTAGCTACCAAGTTCAGACAGCTACTGGTTTTTGCAACGGAGATGAATTTTATTTCATTTTTTCAGGGATTGGTTTGACCAATTTGTCCTGGCACATGTGCATCATGAGCTGTTCTGATTAAAAGGTTTACTTATTGTCTCATTAAACATACTGAACTTTATCTATTTAACCTTTTTGAAACCTAGATTCTTGTATCTGATGTAGTCGGTTGCACAAAGAATAATAAAATGTCTGACCTTAATGAGATTTCTTCCTTTTTTATTATTGCTTTTCCTAGACAGAGAGGTGAAGGTTATATTAGACTAAATAAATCATTCATCATTTGTCTGAAGTTTTAATAAATCAATTGAGTTCTTTTGTATCCTCAATGTTATTTAGACAAATATTTTTTTTAGAAAAAAAATGTATATACCAAGCTAATAAAACTTCTATTTTCTATGACTCATTAAATGATCGAATTAAATTTTCTAGTTTCTAATGTATATTTTTAGTTATATAATTGATTATTACCTGCTTCGGTTTGGGCACCCGGGCAGTATCACAGCCCTCACACATATCGAATGAGATTTGTGTGGCGCATATGTATTTGGTGCCTCCTTGTACCAATATCTTTGTGTTAAAATAAATAATAAATAAATTGATTATTATATTGATTTATCTATTTGAATTAATTCATCATATATGGTGATTTGTTTTAAATCATTAAAAATTTTTTATCATTGATCAACTTAGTGTTTATCATTTCATGAAGAATAAAGAGTTTCGTTTTTATTTTTTTAAATATATACAATTTCCCTGTATGATTGAAGTATAAACGTAAAACTAAATCTATGGATAATGAATTTCATTTAAAAAAACAAAACAGAAAAGAATATTATGTTTTTGTGTTCTTATCACATATTAAATAATTAATCTGTTAAATGAATGGACAGATTTTTCAAGACTAAATACTTGAGAAATGATCGTTTCAGCTTTTTGTATTATTTGTAAAAAATGAAGTGTTTTACAGATTTCTAAAAATCTATCTCTGACCAGTTATATTTTGTGAATAAAATTGTATGCATAATTTACAGCGTGATTAACAGTTAGGCGCATCACTTTTGTCACTTATACTAAATCTGTTAATAAAAAAGAACCGTTTGAAAGAACTATATTAAGTATTGATACAAATGAACGTGGATTTCGATAGTATAAGAAAATGTAGTCTTTATCTTTTAAGCTCTATACTCTGTCTATGGAGGTAGGAACCTGCCTAATTATTCAAGTCCTAATTTGAGTTCAGTCATGAAATTGTTATGTCTAATAATCGTGGAAATAAGATGTGCACAACAAACAACATTTACTCTTCTGACAAGTTGTTTTGTAATTTCACCTTGGTTAATAGTAAATTTTATTATTTTCATTGATGTTTACGCGTACATAGTCTTATGGACATTAGTTAATCAAGAGTTCAATGTATAATACATATCATATGATCTATGTACATTTTAATACATATGGCTAATTATTTTTCGTTTACTATAGGAGAACCTTACATCCCAAGTTATATGGATCCGTTAGCTGGCCCTGAACCTTGTGTTGTTTGTGGTGATAACGCAACTGGATTTCACTATCGTGCTATGACATGTGAAGGTTGCAAAGGATTTTTTCGACGTTCAGTACAGAAAAAGTTGGTTTATACTTGCAAGTTTCAAGGTCACTGCTCTGTATCTGATAAACAAAATCGAAATAGTTGTCAAAAATGTCGCTTTGATAGATGCATTAGCGGCGGGATGGCTAAGGATCGTAAGTAACATTTAGATTTATCTATATCTTCTCATTTCCAACTAATTGTATGTAATTATTATTGTTATTGTTTTGTCATACTAATTCACACGGGAAATTCGGTCGATAAATTCATAATTTATCACAAAATTACTAACTTGAGTGGTAATTTTTATATGTAAGTCTATAAGCCATAGGTCAACTTTTGTTTTTCATAAGTTTAAACCTATTTTCATATTTCATGCGTCTACAATATGAAAATCAGGCGTGTTTTATCTGAGGTCATATGATTATAATTAATCGATGGTAGTTTATACTAGTGTGTAGATGTATACATACATATACAAGGTCACTACCAAGCGAATTCTGGCTTTCATATGTGTACACTTAACTGTGCGTCAATTAACTATAACAATAACTATAATCTCGTCATTTTTCGGAGAGATGAAATGCATTATTATACGCATTTTCGAATAAAAAGTTGGGTGAATTAATTCACAGAATTATTTAATTTGCGCGTTAGCTGGAAGGACTGCTTATCATAATACAGTGCACACAGCTTCGATGTTTAATGTTCTCATGATTTACATTGCATTAAAACAACTTAAAGTATGATGAAATCAATGAAAATGTTGGAGAGAATTATGTTTTGTTAGTTAGCGTGAACATCCACTCAAAGGCTAGAATTCCACAGTATTTTAGTCGCCCAGTATCTGACTCCGGGTTGATCATTTTTGATTGTTATCAAATAATTGCTGTTGAAATATACATCGCGAATATTCTCGTATATGATCATCGACGTAACTCGTGTTGATGAACAAAGGAATTAAATAAGTCAAATACGAGAATGAATCATGAATACGTATATTTCATACAATCGTTGTTTCTGACAAAATATAGAAGAAGTGAAGAGAGCGGAGCGAAATAACACACAATGGAGAAGGTGTGTGAGCCAACTCAGTTTAGTCAAGTGTTAATCGACATTTGTGGTCACACAAAAATAAGTTACAGACATGTGATGAATAGGATAGAAGTGCACACACATACGCTCATATAAAAACAGTGAAGGTTGATAAGCGAATAATTGACAAAGTCAATTAATTGTATTTTCCAGAAGCTAGAATAAGGTATATTCGCTTAGCATAGTAACTGTTACTAAGGTATCTTTATAATATTATGCTATATTTTTGATAAGCAGAGAAATTTACCATTTGTCACTCATCTTTTCCAGTTGAAAATAAAAATAAATTCCAACTCAGTGAGAATTTCTCTTCGAATTATCTAAGTTCCATCTAGTAAGCCTGTTACCAATATTGAAACATAGGAGAACACAGACAAAAGATCGATAAGTAAATATGTCCTGGGATCCTTTCTCCAACTGTTGCCAAGTGCGATCGATGATCTTGATGTTCGACTCCAAACGTTTAGTCGGTCTGCCTTACTTTTTGTCTTGAAGTCTACCGATTAGGACTTGCCTTGTGATACAGTTTAATGGGTTCCGTAAGCTGTGTCCGATCCACCTCAATCATCTTTTCCCAATTCCCCCCTTATCCGGTACTTCATTTGTTATCTGGTCTCTGGTCAAACGGATCTAGAGTATTTCCAATAGACGACTATTTATAAATACCTGTACTCTATTTTAGAAGCTTGGGGTAGTTCTCCAATTCTCAGCTCAGTACGGTAGAACTGTTTTGACGTTTCAAATGTTGGAAATTCTGACTTGGATCATGCATGATAGTACTTCAGAGTTTTAGACACTCTCCAACTACAAGAAACTCTTCCTTGCTTTGACAATTCGTTTCTTCACATCTGCATCAGATCCTCCTTGTTTACCAACGATGGTGTCCAGTTAGATAAGGCTCTAACGTGTCCCAGAGTATCACGTGTGACTTTGGCGGTGCTCGCTATGTTGTGCTTCAGAATCTCGCTTTTTCCCTTGTGAATGTTGAGGCTTACATCTGCGGAGGCCACTGCTACACTGGGTGTCTTCATTTGCATTTGTTGCTTTATGCGACAGTACGACTAAATCATCTGCAGAGTCCAGGTAAACCAGCTGTGCTCAAGATGTCCACTAAATTCTGTGCTTTTCGTGAGCTTTAGAGGTCTTCATAATCCAGTCAGTAGCCAACAGGAAGAGAAGAGGTGAGATGAGACAGCCTTGTCTGGCACTGGTCTTCACGAGGGAATGCATCCGTGAGCTTCCTTCTATGCAGAACTTCGCAATTCACTTCATTGTAAGAGATCAATATAATACTAACAATCTTTTCAGCTACTCGATAATGTCGAGGAAGATTTTGCAGGGTTGTTTGGTCCATGACGCTAAATGGTTTCTTATAACTAAGAGAATTGATGTACAGTGATAAGTCCCATTCAATCGATGGTTCAACAACGATCTTCAGTGTTGCGGCTTGTTCGGTACATGATTGACCCATTCTGAGGCCAGCTTAGTAGTGCCGAATTTGGACGTCAACTGAATTTCCTGTTGGGTTTGGCAGGATTGTCAAAACCTTACCTAGTACTGACAGTAGTGTGGTCCCCCTGTGTTTCTCGTACTTACTATGATCTCCATTCTTTGATATTTTGATGGGGGTCACGCTTTTCAGTCTCTTGATAGTTATGTTTGCTCTCAGACCTTTCTGAATAGTGCTTTGAACATCTTTGTTGTTGCTTCTCCGCCTGTCTGGGTCCGCTACTTTGACGTTCTTCATATATCCAATGACGTTGCTAAGGCGTTTTTTGTGTTGCTTCGACGTCTAATGGGTCCAGTTAGGTTAATTTATTCAAGAGCTCTTCTTAATACCCTACCAATCTGTTTCGTTATTTCTAAATCTCAGTGATTGTTTCGTCATGTTTGTTTTTGTGTGGTCGTTCTGGTTTTCGATATTTTCGTATTAGTTTCTGCGTTGTATGGCATGGTTTTCCTCAAGTTCCGTCTCGTGCAACTTTTCTCAATGTCACTGCTAGGTCTTCCAAGAATTTCCGCCTATCAGCACTAATAGATCCCTTCACTCGTTTGCCTACTTCTGTGTTTTTGGTCTGCGTCTTGACTTCCTCTTTCCTGTTCGGCTTTTCTGGTTACTGTCTTTTTATCCTTCTTTTCTTGGGTCTTACCCACGGCATAAGTAAATATCTTCTTTTTATGCTGGTGCTTCTTGAGTTCTACGGAACATATTACTAAGGTCACTGTTCTCGTCACATGATCAACGTACCATCCATGTATCTCTCATAGAAGTGAAATATGCCGACTGTTTGGCGAAACTATAGGGTTCTTCAGATTTGTCACAAAACAGTGTGCCAGAAGAGCACTTGATGGCGATCATAATGAGGCACCACCGATTTTCTTATGGAAATCTTTATCAAATCCAAACTGCATTTCGAAATTTCAGTACAGTGCAGGTATAATCCTTTTGTTTAGTGCTTTGGGACGCTGATACCGATTTTGTTATGACCAGCGAGACATTTATGAATAGAAAAGTGATGTCTAGTGATTTCATTTTCTTTATCGATATAATGAAGTCGGTTACTAAATTGACGAAATTAAAGGAGTCAGAAGTACTATGTCTCCAGATCTGGCTTATGACAGGTTGTAAAATTTCCACCAAATGTTTGGCAGTTACGTGGTATGGACAGTTATATATATCCATCGTAGGACGAAGATCTTTTTCATATACCTTTGAGAGTCCATATAATCACGGGATAAAACAAACCGTTGATCTTAGGTATTTGAATTGATCCTCGTTAATAATTGACTCATTTTTCAATACTTGCATCATTTTAGTCAACTTCTGATTATTTTGTTCGGAAAGGAAAATTCTCTACGTCGAAATATCTTTATGTTTTTAACAAGTCAGTTGGTTTATTTACTTTTTTGAATACAGAGCGGCCCTGATAAGGACAGAAGCTAGACATGCTTCTTTTAAATGTAGTACTGGAATGCTTAATGCTTCTCCAGTATAAGGAAGTATGGACCCGAGGGATTTTGATAGATTAGTACAAATAGAACCAGTTATTGAAAGCGACCAATTAATGTCGACTTTATAAACAATCTGAACTGAGGTCAGCCCGTCCGTCATCTTACATTTTTTCCTTGACACGTGCAAGTAAATGTAAGTTCCCATGGTTGACCAGTGTAACTAGCTTCACGAGAGTTCATATAATGATAACTACAAAACGAAGTGACCAGTCTGCATAATTCATCTTCTAACATCAGTACCATCCTCATACAAATGGAAAATATTAGTTGTATCTTTCCATTACTGAATTTCTTTACACTATTCTATGTTACATCTCTAGACCGTCACATATAAGGAATCCCACTAACATTTTCCATGAATAACCAATACACATTGTCTTTACGAAATGAACCATTTACCTTTAGCATTTGTATGAATACTGACGTTTACTAACCTAAACTATTCATTAACTAATTTGTATTATCGCTGTAAAGCAAAGTCACTGAACTAATTCTGTTACAGCATGAGTAATATTATTCAGTAGAATATTGGTAGGTTAACTGTTCGTGTACAACTTAATAAAAGGTTTTATGTAACTTTGACTTCAAATTTTACAATTGCGATATAACACAAAGAAGTTGACTTGAAAGCAACAATTTTCAATGTTAATCAGATGTTTGTTGCCTTTTTTTCATAAAAATTCTCTTCCAATAGTCGTACTTGATGAAGATAAACGTTTAGCTAAACGTCGTCTAATCGAAGCAAATCGAGCACGTAAAAGAGCTGAAGCTATAGAAGCCTCCACTGCTGTATGTGTTACAGATCCATCAATTAATATACCTAATTTTACAAATCCTAATTCAGTATCAAAATATCATTTCATTCACAATCAACCAATCTCTACATCGAACACCATCTCTAGTACACCTGTTATTATGTCAACGATTCCTTATCATTCTACAATCCATCCTAATACTCATTTTACCAATCAATTTGCACTCAGTTCAACAACTGGAAGTCAGTTTAACTGTAATCCTATTCAAACACGTTATTTGGAGGTAACCAACAATGATAGCCACTCATTTGTCAATCCAAAAACTCCAGATGCAACATATTCACCTGTAAATGAAGCACAATTAATTGTACAACCTATTCAAACAATCGATAAATTACAACTAACTACTATACCCAACAACATATACTGGAATCCTATATGCGGAGCTCCGTATACACACTCTTTCATGAATGATACTAGTAATCATGATAATAATAATTCTAACATCCCACTTTCATTTAAAGAATCTATCAATGGAATTCAGTTGTCTAGTTTATCAATGCAAATTAACAAAACTCCATTATATTCTGGTGAAGATAGTTACTGCAACTTACCAAGTAAATATAGTGATTTTAATAGCCAACAAAGTGTGTATACGAAAGCTGTAGATAATAACCGAATTAATAATATCAATGTTAATAATGTCCAAGCAAATACAGATTATGAGCCTCAACAGTATTCTCTTATAACACCTGAGAAATGTCAAACATTATCTTGTGATCAACCAGCGATCAAAGATAATTTATCAATTTCATATCCTAAGTATGTTAGTATGATGGATTCAAATGATACAGTGCATAATGACTGCCCATGGACAACAGAAGATCAAAATATGGTTGATTCTATTGTTCAAGCTTATAGTAATATGTTGAATCCAAGCTTCAAACGAAAGGTATTGTATTACCCATTAATTTTTTTACATATGATTTTGTGAGTTTTATCTACTGTAACTTTATAGTCCTGATAAATGGATAACTGGATAATTATGGCACATTTTGATGTTCTAGCTCATACTTTGAGTATGCCTCCACAGTAGCGGTGGATGAACGCTTAACTTCTACTTCTTTATTTCGTGTTAGGCATTTACATAATGTCGTTGATCATCACTGCAATATGGCTCATAGACTGATGTGAAATAATTCACGGTTAGTTTCTAAGCAGTGTCATACTTTACATATCACCATGGTTGATAGCTGATTGTTTCATTTAACAAATTGTTAATTAAGTCGTGAGTTTAACATAATTTTTGTTGCTGTTGAACTATCCTTGCTGTTTACTGGATAAAACTCAACTTGTGAAGTACCGAAGCATTGATTAAACGTTTTACTTTGGGGAAAAATAGCTCATACGAACGGGTATGACATCTTATCACCTTAGTGATTCCAAAAGATATATTTTTTGATAGTATCTTCAGCTTAACACATAATGAAAACAGTCTTATGATAACTAAAGTGTTATATCTAGTCAATCATAGTTAACTTAGAATCCGACAGAAATTTATAACAAAGCAATAAACAACAGAGTGGGGTTAATTTTAAATGTCATAGAAGACTAAACGCAAGATATACAATGCTAACAGAGAATGAGAACAAAGAATGGACAATCATAGATGACAATTAACTGTTAATTTACGAGGAGAAGGATGAGTAAGTTCCGCCATTATGATGAATTTTGTTCCGTACCACCTAACGCCAATAATTAGAAGTGTTGTGCAGACTCTAAGCAAGTCTTTACTTGTCAATTTGGTTCGAGTCAGCAATAGATCAATGTTCTTCCAATCAGCTCACCCTTTTTCTTCTCAACCTTCTGCGACACCCTGTTCTTTATGCCCAACCCTCGTATTTCTTGCAAATGCATGCTTCGAACACACTACTGGTCTAATCACGTCAACCTTGAATAACATAAAAATGGATTTTTAAAGATAAATATTTCTATCAGTAGTCTACCTGTATTTTGGTTATAAGGTTCATGTAGGAATTCGGGCTGTGGATAAACTCCACGTTGTCAAGTCATCTTAGTGTATCATGGTCAGTAATTATGGTTACGTTTTCGTTCGTTTAGTCACTCACTTGTAGATATTTTGGAATAATTTATATCATAGTGTTAACTGGATGTGTGACTTTTGCTATATTGTCTCCTTTTAGTTATGACTGACTGCGCTACAATTGACACCTCCGTAACATGATGGAGTGACATTTTCGTCGTCATGCAAACCAGCGAAAACTATAGAGAACAAAACACGCTATCCATTGTGGACTATGATAGCGTAAATACTAATCCTCGCTTCATTTTGGTTGGTTGCCAGGTGAAAAGTCAAAATTGCGAGCGAACGTAGAGTTTATCCTCGGTCGGAATTCGTTTAATTTGTTGATAGTATTCATCACAGATTGACATCAGTTAGACTACCAAAACAAAACTGATGTTTTATCCTAGTGATTGTCAAAAACCAATTTTCAGCTATTTCTATCATTGAAATTTGAATGAATTATATCGATTCTCGGTTTCTAAACTAATGAATAAATATAATTTGTAATTTGTAAGAATTAAACCTATATATATTTCACAACTATAGTTAATTAATCCATTATTGCATATTCTCAATAAATGTATGTTTCGTTGCTTACTAACTGCAATGATATTAGTCTCTCTACTTGTTTAAATCTACATTTTTATTTCGCTCAAATAGATTGACAATGGAGATGTTGACAAAGAACCTGAGAAAGCTTTCTATTCTTCAACAGATTCAAAAATCAGTTCACTTATTGAACCAATGATTGCATCACTTGTTGCATTTGCCAGATTAGTTCCTGGATTTGAATTGGTATGTGTGAAATATTACTGTTGATATGTATGCATATGTATATATAATTTTGGGGAAAATGAAGTCAGTTAACTATTTTTAAGTTTTATAGATTTGGGTTTTTGAATTAATTTTTATTCTCTTATAAACTAAGGGAATGACGAAAGTGTCTGTTAATGATTAAAACACTGGAATTCTAACGGTTATTAGTGGCAATAGTTCGAATCCGGCTTTGAAAAATTAGGTTATATAACCGATCTTCGTACTAAAAAAGCCGAGTTTTGAAGCTTGTATTCGATTATAGATTCGGATTATTGTATTCTAGTGAAGTGTTAATATAGATTTAAATTTTAACAAACTTTACTATCACAGAACATCATTAGAAAATTTAACTAGGGCAAAATAAAATTTGTAAACCTGTTATTGTTAACAGTAGTAGACTAAGATAATTGTACTATACTTACTAGTGCTTTTGCACCATGACTTCTCCAGATATTCCTTATGCTTAGTTTTACATTTCTTGTATTTATTCTAGTTAGATGCCAACGATCAAACACGTTTGTTACGTGGCTGCTGCTTAGATATTATCACTCTACGCGCTGCGTACTTATTAAGTCGCATTGCTGTCTCACTTGGAATTGTTGATTCTAATGGAAATAACAAGCCACAATTTACAACAAGTTCATTAGATTCGGTCGATATTTTTGTGCAGAATCTTCCTTCACATCAACACAATGTTGCGTCTGTTATTCCAAATAATATTTACCCTCAATTAGGCACTTCTGATGTGAAATGTGCCCAGATGATTCGTGCGGTAGCATTGAAATTAGCTCGCCTTGAAATCGACCAAACAGAAGTTGCATTAATGACATCTATTTTATTAATGTCCCCAGGTATGTTAATGTTTAAGTACCACATTTTGTTTGTTAAGTCTTTTACTAACTCAGCTTTCCAATCGAACAATTCTGATTACATACGGTCTCATGCTCACTAGTGACTAACTCAACCATAAGAATTAGTGAACTATATGCAGAAGTGAATGGCATTGGAATCCAAGTTGCGCATTTCGTCCTATTTGAGACTCGTTAGCTGGATATACCTGCTTCTTAGAGTTGCTAGTCACTCCAAGACTTGAACTCAGTACTGTTCGCTTCAAAGGACATCGCGTTATCCACTTAGCTACTGAATCCTGATAACCGCTGGTTTGTACAAAATGAATTTTGATCCATTTTTATTGGTTGTTTGAACCTTCTCAATGGTATTTAGAACTTTAGTTGGTCAGTTGCTATTACATCTGTGCATAATATTCAGGAGTTAAAACCGAAAGGCACTAGGTTTAGGTCTCGGAGAGAACATCAACTTTGGGATGCTGATACATGCAGCTGACGAGTTTTAAATAGGACTGGCCGTAAGTTCTGGACTCCACTGCTAGTAACCACACATTCTGCTTATAACGCTTATGAGTTAATAGCAATATGGAGGCAATCTGCATAGGATGTATGTATGCCAAGGCAGACTTCTCAATTGCGGTCCTAAACATCTATGGGAAGGTTCAAATAACCAATACAAATGGATTAATGAATTAGTTGTATGAACTTCAAGAGAATATTAAACTATGGTAAAGTAGGGATCGAGAACTGACTAGTGTTCAGTGAGTATCTAGCTTTAGTCAGTTGGTAATGCAAACTAAGGAAATGGACGAGAAGCAAAAGTACTGATTTCATTTCCCAGATACTTGGCTTTGGATCATACTCTGTATACGAGGGCCAGTGATGCTATCCGGTTATCTAAATCAATGTAAGAGGAGACGATTTCTAACCTATGGCTTAATGGGTAGAAGTAAAACGCCCTAACCACTAAACCACATTTATCAGTCACTTTTGAGATCAAATTCGCTGCGTTCATGTATAAGTTTTTATACTTCTGTAATTCAAATATTCTCACTTTGCTATGAAAAGTAAATTGAGCGGATTTCGTTTTACTCTTTAGAATTTATGGTTAAGTAATTTAAAACTGTTCTAATCAGTTTGACTCATTTAGTATATTTGCATCAATTGTATATGTCTAACCACTATGAGTTACAAAGGCAAATATTTTTTTTACTATACGTGATATATCAAATACAGTGAAGTTTTCTGTTGAGAATTTTGGAATCTACATAGTGCGGTAATAGTTATGGCCTATGGATTGTTAAGTAATATTTTGTAGGACTACACCATGCAAACTCGATTGTTATCATTGAGATAGGAAATAAAGTAATAACTGTCACACCTAAAGTACGTTTAAAAACCAAGTACATAGATCACTTGGTTAATAACTTACACTTATTTTTATAAAACCCTAGGCTGACCAACATCATGCCAGATGTTCAAATGTTTCGACTAACTGATGAATAATTTTTATCCGCTTTCCATCTTAATATGTACGTGTCATTCACTTGTGATTTAATACGTTATCACCATGTCTCCGTAGTTACAGAAGATTTACTTTCTTTAAGTTGAATGATTCAGTTGAATTAACTAACACCACCATGAAAACTCGACTCATTCCGTATATGGACGTTTAACCATAGCTAAGGAATAAATTGTGCGTTTATATGAATAAATGACATTATATATATATATATATATATATATATATATATATGGTTACATTGAAATTAACTAAGCTTTGTCTATATTGGGTCGACCTCTAATGCTTTTTATATAAAGTTATATCTATTCCTTAAAAAGTAGGTGAAATGTTTCAGTATACTAATTACCATAAACAGACTGCACTCACATGAAAGCTTACGAATACAAAATGAATGATCAAGTTGCTTTCTTGGTTTCTTGTTCTGCCGTATATTTCGATGTCAGTTAGCAATAAATTTAACATGAAAGCTGGTTAAGTAATTAATAGCATCTGAAAAGGATCATCAACACATAGTTTCAGGTCATCATCATTGACTAGGAGAATTATGCTTGTTTTATTGTCACTGTCTAAAATCTTCCCCTTATTATTTATTTCTGATGTTAGTTGTGGCTTGTAAAGCAGCTATTTTGGATTATTCTTTAATTATTTTTTGAAATAAACAAATATTTTTCTCGTTTTAGCAAGTAAATCATTATTCCTGCTAGCTATTCAGTCGGTGTAATCTAAATATGGTCACGGTTACTGACCTTAGTTCTTTATAGTGAATAATTTTCGTTTTAATTGCATAATACATGAATTATAAGATATTCGACTAGTATTCTTTATTATTTTAATCAATTGCTATCCGATTTCTCATTCATCCTCATTTTCCACGCATTCATATTAAAGGTTTGTAGTAACAACAACTGGTAATAAACATCCAAGTCTTTTTGTGTTTTATAGGAATTAACTAACTTTAAGATGATATATGCCCGGCTTTAAGACACACTTAGTGTATGAGAGCTATCTATAAAACTCGGTTGCCCAAACCGGTATAAATGAAGAGCGTTTTGAATTTACCCAGAGGTATAACCATTAGGTTATCGATTTACGGTAAAGCCTTATACCATAGAAGGCGTGGCGCATATATATCTGGTGCCCCCTTGTACCAATATTTATTTGTTCAAATAAATAAAATAAATAATATTACCATAGAATAATGTGTTATTTTGACCGATACTTATCTATCTATCGTCGTAAAGTTAGCTTTGTAATTGTCATTGAAGGAAAATATGCTTCGCCTTTATTTGTCGTCGACCAGGCTTAGTAAATTAATTACTTGATTTTTTATTTTTACTTACAATACTGAAGATCGTTTTGGCTTAACCGACTGTGAAACTGTCGAACATACCCAGGATATTTTATTGGAGACTTTCAATCGTTATGCTAATCGTATTCGAAAAATTCGTTCCAGTCGAATGAATCATAATAACATGTCAAGTCGTTCAGTTAACATCAATGGAATTTCACAACAACAACAACAGTACTGGCCGAGGATTCTCATGGCTTTAACTGAATTGCGTTCAATCACGTTGTGCAACCAAGGTTTATTTGTGGAAAAAGCCTACGGCAATACAACCGAACAGTTGCCATGGTATTTTCATGAGTTATTCACCGGAGACTTTATAATTCAACAGACTAATATTTATAGTTTTGAGCGTTGCAATAATAATGACAATAATAATAATTTGTGTTGAATGTAAAGCGCCTAACCTTTTATGAAAATATCAAGGTATACCAGTATTGCTCATTGTTATTATTATTATTATTATTATTATCATTAGACTTGTAAGTGAATATGTAGATAAACAGTGAACTATGCTTATAATGCTTTTATTTCGTCTCATTTTCACTTGTGTCATGCCTTTCTCTGTGAGTTTTTTTCTTCATTTCTATGTTGTTACTTTGTTTCATTTTTTAACTTACAATATGCTTTATTTTGTTATCTGTATATTACTCACCATTTTCTCTTCCTCTTTGTGTTAATTACATAATATCATTCTACAAAATGATATATCACCATTCTTTGACAATAAGTAAGGAAACTTTTATAACAACAGAATAGTAGTATTTGTTTGATCGTTATTTTGATGGAAAAAAATTACTCCTCATTTCACTAACATACCATTTAAATTATATTGATTTTAGTAAATAAAAAGACGAAATTTGTACAATGACTTAAAGTGATGTGTATGTACTTCAATTCATTTGATCTAGAGCTTCACGTTCATAAAAATCTTCGTTTATTTCGTCAAATACTTTTTTTAGATTAGTTAGGTTTTTTTCTGTTTTCTGTCTACCTCTACAGGATATTGACAATAGAATTTTTATTAAGGTATTAATACACAGCGAAATGTATCATTTGGTCTCAGTACTATTAGTGATTCATCTTATATTCTTAATTATTACTTTCTATTAAATGCATATTAATAACTGTACTATTATTATTATTATTATTATTATTATTATTATTATTATTATTATTATTATTATTGATAGTTGTACCAATGAAGTAATGCCACTAATAACCATAAAACGTAACATATAATTTTCAGAATTTTTTTTCTTCAACTTAACACCCTTATGTCATCATGCTTTTTACCACTTATCATTATCTTCTCAGATAATAATAGTGGTCTACATACCTTTCTTTTTTCTTCTATAATAAACAATTTAAGAGTGGTTCGTCCACCAGAGTAAACAATTTATTAAAATACTGTGTTGACATATTGATTCACATGTATTAGTTGCATACATTTTACTAACCTGCCTTTTGTTTGACTTAATCTGTCAGTACATACTGTAGATATATGAAAATAACACAAGGATCCATATTCGTGTGTACCATCCTCATCGATATCTGTATGACGTCTTATATCAAGTGTGATTTTATTCCTTCTTTTTTCGGTGATTGTTTTTATAAGAATACAAACAATCTTGATAAATGGTTAAAAATTATCAAGCATACAAGGATCTTACTTTTAATTAGGCATTCTTTGTTTATGTGTGAGCGGTTTTTTTTAAAAAATTTTCTTTGTATAAATGTGCATGCTCTTATATCTTACAGAAACAACTTGTTTTCATTCATTAAAATACTTTTTCCCATACCTGGTAATTGTCTACTTAGTGTTAGGTGGTTGGAGGTGTTCGGCGGAAAACCCTAGAATTAGGTTTCGTACCAGTTAATGCTTGTCATCGAGGCGCATCTGTATTATTAAAGGAGTTCATTCCCCTTATAGAATTCGAACCCCGACAACTCAGTTTTACAGTTTAAGGTCTTCCCATCGAGCTGTTCGGGATGTAACTGGCACGTATGCCCGAGTTGTGTACACCGATTGATTACTTGGTAGTACCCAATGTCATATTCTTCTAGTCCTTAGGTCTAATCTAGGTTCTTGATTATCATTTGGTGCATCCGACATATTTTTCTCATTTTTATAAGAAATTTCATCAAGAACATGTGAATCATTAAGATAACCCATACCTGGTAAAACAACTAGAGAATTCCGATAACTAGATTCGTCAGGAATTTTGTCGCAGAATGATGAGCTCCATTTGGTGCAGCTGTACTCATTATGCTGCTCGATTTATTTTCCGTTTCAATAGTATTTAACAATACCCCGTCTTTCTGTGAGCTGGACAAGTCACTGCTTGAACATTGCGTTTCGGGGATAATGGGATTTGAACCCACTACAAGTCATGTCTCTGAAATGGACGTTTCTAGACCTATGGGCAGATCATGAATGACTGCTACTGTTTCGTTTAAATTACTGCTTGTCAAGGATTCATGGAGGCTTTCATTGACACATTCATCCATTTTGCAATCATTTTCCAGCTCTTTACGCAATTCACACAAAAAATTCATCAAATACCGTCACACCTCCAAAACATGGATGATTCAGCAGCCGTGTGTGCAATTTTTCTATCAATTCCAACTGATTCTTCTTAAAACGCTGCTGTTGTCGCTGAAAATAACAACTGCAAATGATCGGAAGAGAGAGTCATTTTCTGTTTCTGTATGAATCAGCACGGTAATAGAAAATACAGTATAACTAATTAACAACCAATGTCGTTTTAGGAAACCGACAACAATTCTATATTCTGATTGTCTGAAATAATTACACCGATTTTCCTCTAATTACTGGCTGACCTTGGACCTTTATTTAGAAGACTGAGGGTTCAGAATTTTTTCCATCCCGTCGCTAATTGGTATTTACTTGTGGGTTTGTGCCCCTATCAATTTATGACGTAATGATACCGCCAATTAGGGAACAGTGATTTATCGACCGGACCAATGACACGTAAACACGTACGAACAGTCTAGAGTCCATGTCGGTCCTTCTTCTTGCCTAGCACTGCCTGTTAAATCCAGAACACCAATCCCAGCCTCTGTGATATGAATCATGTATTTCAAACATACTGGGTTTATACACCAACCAGACAGACCACATCGTACCATCAAAATAGAAAATAACGTTTGTATAAGATTTAGCCAAAAGTGGCTGTGAATGTGGGAGACCGTTATTAATAGACTGGGTATAATTCAAGAACGGTAAATCGCATAATAATAGTCTATGGGTTAAAATAGAGCTTTTAATAAGGCGAACATGAATATGTATAGTTTAGCTACTTAATAATTATACAATAAAAATATATGGTCCATAAATAGTTCTCAAAAGTTACCTTTCATTATTCTCATCGCGATATAACACCATTGTAACTTGTTCAATGGAATTCAATTAATGCTAGAAGACGAGACAGAATTGCATTGGTTACCACTCTGTAATGAGTCAGTCATAACTGTGAACAATGCTCTCGATTTTATGTAACCCTAAAACTTTTATCATCTGTATCATACTAGAGTAAAAGGTCCCGTTTACTGCTTATCATAGAATAAATTTAACCTTTTTTAAACAGTCCAACTGGATGATTCATTCAAATTATAAATATATATTTATAGAGCTAAGGTCACATTTTTGACCCTATTGATAATAAATGTACTATTTAAATTAGATAGTTTGTTCGTTAAGTTTTCTTTGTAACTTTCATTGTCGAATTGTTTTTGTTCTTCCATTACTTACTATGAACAGAAATGTATTGATTCGGGCTAATAAAATTTTATACACTAATTTTTTTCTTACAAGCGCTATTTCACAGTTTTACCCATAATTCTGTAACTATAATGACATGTATTTATAGACATCTTTGTTAATGGACTTGTTTATTTGTCTAGTATATATATGCTATACATACCTTGATTACTCATAACGTTAATGTGAATGAAGTAAAAGGTTTACATGCGACAAATCATATTTGCCAATATCATTCTAACAGACACGATACTTTTTTATACAATATAAACAATCTTTGTCTCAATTGTAAAAAATTATCAAGGTAAAACCAGCTGAGCTTAGCAATAAACATGCTTAACAAGTATAGAACGACATTTTTTTAACCTTTACCATAAGGAAGGGTTAGTATTACAAACTAGCATTACAAACTATCCACATTCAATTAGAATATTAGTTATAATTAATTATTTATTTAAGTCATGTGTTAGAGTATAATACTGTTAATATTAATAATAATTCAGTCAGTATTACAATCTTAAAATGCCGACTTAGATGGTTTGGATACAAGTTACGAAAGTGTTCCCAATCGACAATAACTACTGATTTCGGGATTGGATGGGAAAGTAGAAATGTTCAGATAATCGGATGATGCCGTGTTTCGAAAGATGGCTGTATAGAACTGGTGTCTGTTGGCTCATTACGACTACCTGGATCCGATGCCCAAAATTATGACAAATAGTACATTAAGACATTATCACTTGTGGTTCAAAATAGAAACCATTATATACCCTGCTGAAGTCTTCTGTTATATTTTTCATATATGTAAGATAAACCCATTCAACTGAAAGCAATTTATCAAAGTTTTATTTTTAATTGAACTGTATCTTTCATTAAATATTAATCTTTTTCATTTGGCTATTAACTATACTGTTAAAATACCTTGTGTTGAGAGTTCTATATTGTACCGAAGCCATTAATAATGATAATAAACTTTTAATTCTTCATAGTTTTATCCTCCTATTGTACGTGGTACAATGTTTTGGCATTTTATTGTGTCAACATTTTTATTTGATTGAGAATATAATGTGGATAGGACGAATTTGTCTACAAATTGATAGAATTTACTACAGAAATAACTCATTGACATAATAATACAGTGTTTATTATTGACGTAATACATAGAGGTGGATTTTCTAGTTTTAGTGAGAATACTTATCTATGAAGTTAACTAAGTCTTTCATTGTCCATTTCTTACAATTCCCAGAATTACAGTTTCGAAACTTTCATGTACTTCAATAACGAGCTATAATCGTATTTGAAATTCTTTTAGTTTTAAAACCATTCGAATATAAAAAGTTAAATATTTACATTGATCGATCACTGACTAGTAACAAGTGGAGTGTTTGTTTGGTTTTTAGTACTAGCAAAATGAAGTTGCCGGTATTAAGGATGTAACATTTAGTACATTATGTTTTGAATTTAGGTTGTTTCAACAATATGCTGAAAGCCCTGAACTTATGTTTCGTGTTGATAAACATAACTGATCAAGATATATCTCCAATCTTCAATGAACTGATACTTCTAGAGAAATTAGAACAGTGGCCATAATTCAACTTGATCAATAAAAGCGGATAAACGCTAATGACTAGATAAACATGATACCGGTTATTACTCGATGATAGACCAAGTGATCATGAAATGTTCC